ATATTTATACATGAATTAAATTATATAAAATACATGTGAAAATGTCTGTTTGGGAGAGAAATAGTATTTTCTTTATCAAGGGCTATTACAGAACCAGGTTGCTCCATGAAAAAAATGAGCAGCACAAAATATATAAGGACTTAAAGGAGAGAGGGCAGCTCCCCTACCAGATGCAGGACGAGACTTGCCAAATGCTTTAACAAATATAAAGAATGTATTAGTCCTAAAGCAACTGGTCAGCCAACAAAGCAAAGGGATGGGGGCATCAAAAACATTGGCTGCACCAGTGAAAGCACTTTCCAGAGGGAAGGGAGCTGGAGCCATCAGATGGCTATAAGCTCATAGTAGTTCTCAGCATTGCCTGACATCAGAATCATCTGGAGAGCTATTCAAGGTCCCAGTGGCCATACTGCGCCTCAGACCAATGATATCACAACATTTGGAGGTAAGACCTGGCACCAGGTAATCCTAATGTGTAGTCCTAGTCCAAGGGATTGTCACCTAATATAGTCATGAACAATAGGAAGTCACGGCCACTGCACTTCTCCTGTTCTGGTCCAACTGCTGAATCATTCATGGCTGTGAGTTAAAGGTATTGGTGATTTTAGTCGGGTATTATTGGATATTTAAGTAATCTAGCCCTCTAGTTATGATTCCATGTGCATTAGTTCACCTTTTCCTTATCATGTAGCTTGAACACAGGGAAAGAAAGAATTGAGTATTTAAGGTCTCCATGACAGCTATGTTTATAATTATACAGGTGGTAGGGATAGGTTAATTAATAAGAGAAAATTTCTATTTCCTCCCCACTTCATCAAGGAGATCTTTGCCTTCAGCAGTCTTATTTCTAGGCTTTTGTGTTATGAAACCTAAAAATGGGCAAATAAAAATGGTGTTGGAGTATGGAAAAAGGTAAAAAAGAGTAATTTTACAGTGTAGAAATCTGGCAAATAGTACCTCAGTCAGGTGATCAGAATCAACATATTGACTGCATAGGACTTAATATGATGTGATAAAAATGATACTTTTCTTCTGTAGTCTTTCCCACAATGAACCCATTAACTCCATTCTCATCATGAGAAAAACATGAGACTAACCTCAACTGAGGAACATACTATGAAATACATAAACTTATCAAAAGTGTCAAAATCATCAAAAACAAATATAGTGTGAGAAATTGTCAGAGTCTAGAGGACACAGCCTGAGAAGACATGATGATTAAGTGCAATGTAGTCTCTTGGTTGGGATTCTGGAACAACAAAAGGACATGAAGTAAAAACTGAACAAATTTGAATAAAGTAGTCTTTAGTTAATAAAAATGAATCAAATTAGTCTCCTAGTTGTAACAGATATACCACACTAAGATATTAACAAGAGGTGCAACAGTGTGAGGTATATGGGAAATTTCTGTACTATCTTTGCAATTATTTTGTAAAGCTCAAACTATTCTGAAATAAACAGTTTATTTAAAAATACTATTGAAATTATTTCAAGTTGCATCATAAGTGTAAAATGCAAAATTATATATGTAAATAAAAAGTATAAAACTCAAAGATAACATAGGCGAAAACCTCGATGATTTGGGGTGTGGTGATGACTTTTTAGATACAACACCAAAGGTATGATCCATGAAAGAAATAATGAGAAGTTGAACTTCATTAAAATTAAAAGCATCTGTGCTATGAAAGACACTGTTAAGAGAATGAGAAGGCAAGTCACAGACTGGGGGGAAATATTTGCAAAAGACACACTTGATAAAGGACTTATCCAAAATACACTCTTAAAAGTTAATAAGAAAACAAACCTCAATAAAAAAATGAGAAAAAAACTTGTTTTGGTGCATTTGGACTGCTATAATAAAATGTCATAGATGAGATAGCTTGTAAACAACAGAAATTTATTTCTCACAGTTTTGGAGAATGGGAAGTGCAAAAGCAATTCCCCAGCAGGTTAGGTGTCTGATAAGGGCCTGTTCCCTGGCTCACAGACAGCATTTGTTGACTGTGTCCTCACAGGCAAGGAGGGGTCAAAGAGTCTCTCTAGAGTCCCTTTTGTAAGAGCACTAATTCCATTCATGAGGGCTTCACTCTCATGACCTAATCACTCCCTGAAGGCTTTGCCTACTAATATACCTTGAGAGTTAGGATTTCAACAGAGGTATTTTTGAGGGGACACAAACATTTGTCCACAGCAAGACCTGAACAGACATATCACCAAAAGTAGATATATAGATGACAAATAAGCGTATAAAAGGGATAAAAGGGTGTTCGACTTTACCTCTCTTTAGGGAATTGTACACTAAAACAATAGTGTAAAAGCATTAGGCACCTATTAGAATGGCCCAAAATTTGAAACACTGGCAACACCAAATGTTGATGGTGGGAATGCAAAATGGTACAACCACTTTGGAAGATAGTTTGGTGATTTCTTACCAGACCAAATATACTCTTACCATATGATCTAGCAACAGTGCTTCTCGGTAATTACACAGATGAATTGAAAACTTATGTACTTGAATGTTTATAGTGGCTTTTTTCATATTGCCAAATCTTGGAAGCAAACCAATATACCTCTTTCAGTATGTATATTGATAAACAAACTGTGGTACATTTAGACAATGGAAAAATATTCAGTGTTAAAAAACTGAGCTATGAAACCATGATAAGACATGGACGAACCTTAAATATATTATTACAAAGAGAAAGAAGCCAATCTGAAAAGGCTACAAACTGCGTGATTCCTACTTTCCCCTGGAAAGAGAAAGCTATAGAGACAGTAAAAAGATCATTAACCAGTCAGGGGTTAGGGAGAGGGGAGGGAGCACAGAGGGTTTTTAGGTCAGTGAATCTACTCTATGATACTCTAATGGTGGAGCCATGTCATTAAACATTCGTCAAAACCCATAGAATGTGCAACACCCAAAGTGAACCCTAAAGTAAACTAGGAACATTATCATTTGACAATGATTTGTCAACATAGGTTCATTTGTTATACCACCTAGGCCACTTCGGCGAGGGATGTTGATGACGAAGAGGCTATACTTGTGTACGGGCAGGGGGTACGTGGAAAATTGGGGTACTTTACAATCAATTTTGCTTTGAATTTTAAAGTTCTGAAATATGATGTCTATTTTTAAAACTTTAGTATGGGAGAGTCTGCTGGAAAGAGTCAAGGATGAAGGCTAGGATATAGTAAAGGTCCGATTCTACTAGTGAAATATCTCTTCTGTCTCTACGGTCAGATCATTAGACTGTCATCAGCTCAGTGAAGGCAATGGCTGTGTCGGTTTTGCTTATATCTCTATCCCCAGCATCTGTCATTCCATCTTAGTGTCTTACATGGGTGTCCAACCTTTTGGCGTCTCTGAGCCACACCGGAAGAAGAAGAGTTGTCTTGAGTCATACAGTAAATACACAAATGCTAATGAAAACTGATGTGCAAAAAAAAGGCTTTAAGGAAATTTATAATTTTGTGTTGGGCCACATTCATAGCCACCCTAGGCTGCATTCAGCCCACGGGCCACAGGTTAGACAGCAGAAGACCCCCAATGAATATTAACTCAGTGATTGAATAAAACACCACCTGTTTCATGGAATTTTCTCTAATCACCTTTATCAAGATTAAATTATTCTATATGTATGTATTTCTCAGGTACATTGTTTTATCTCAAGTTGTATTGTATATTTACTTGTAATTGTCCCACATACCTAAATCCTTTTGTATACAACACACACACATACACACACAACACTGCAAGCTCCTGGAAGAAAAAGACTGAGCCTTCTTTGCATTTCATCTGCCCAATACCTAGTTGGGCTTTGTTTGTATGTGATGAACATTCACATGTGCTTGCTGAATTGAGTTTACTCTGCTATGATCTGTTTAAAATTTCTTATTTAGTTGTACTCCCATAACAAATACAAAATTATTAAATATTCAATCAGTATGAGATAAATGTACTCATTAATTAATGTCTAACTATATTCGGCAAGAACCTCTATTTTGTATTTGTATGTTCTGCATTGCTTGTATGAGGTTATAGGAAAGTGTTTAGTATGCTATTTGTAACACCAGGGCCATTGTTTAGCATTTTGTCTTTAGGAGCCCATTTCATTTCCCTGGGGAAATTTTCCTAAACCAGCATCAGGTGAGGTGGAAACAGCACTGGGCCGGTGAGAAGCCAGGGACTGAGCCTATTTAGGCCCCTGGATTTAGAGAACTGTATGTATGTACTGTATGGCCTGAGGTATGTCTTGTTTAAAAAAAATGTACTGAATAATCTGTAAAACCTTCTTACTCGAATATTCTTTGTCATTAATGCTCTTAGATAATCAAACTGGATCCCTAAATTGCAGGCCAGTTTTCCTGTTCATGCACTTCTCTGGCCACAAGATGGCGGACTTTATGTTGTTTTATTCATTCTCTCCCAGCAAAAAGAACCTTAACCCTCTTGCAGTTTTGAAAATTTAAAACTCCCATTTCCTTTAAAAGCCTGATCAATGCAACATGGACTTTACATTCTGATTCTAAAAAGTGTCTTGAATGCTTTGAATTTTCACAATAAAGAAGATTTCCTCTTTTGTGTGGGAATACTGATATAGACTGCATTTCTATACAAATGCAAAAATCCCGTGAAGAGATCAAAGAGACCACAAGTATTTTCATTTTTTTCCCCTTACACAGGCAAAGACAGTGTTTGAAATTCGGAATTGATGAAAACTGTAGCATAGAGGCTACTAGATAGAGTTTTCAAAATATCCTGTCATTCTGGTATTTTTAACCATTGTTCTTGACGCTTCACAAGTATTCCAACATTTTTTGTGCCACTGGCTTCTCAGATTTAATTTGAGGGGGAAGTTGCAAATCAAAAATACATCTATTTTATGCACCAAGAATGGGAATTCAGAAGAACAAGATCTGCATTTCAGAAATTTGAAGTAATTTTCCTTGATTTACATGATCTATCTGCTTTAAGAAGATGTCAGATTTTGCCAACTTACCCTGGTCAGAAGCTCATTCATTTCTGTCACGAGCGTGTTCAGATTGCCCTCTGCCAACTGAATGAGCCTCTCTGGGGCCCGCTGAGGTGAGAGCAAGTGCTGAAAAAGATTGCATTCGTTTATGCATTTTAGTAAATGTTTTTGCAGAGATCATGAGCTTGAACACTGAGCAGAACACACTTTTCCTTTATATACAAAAACACAAAACAAAACAAAAGCAAAACTCAAACAATAATCCAGACTTCTCACCTTCAAAGAAAAGAGAAAGAAAGCATTTCAATGGGGAATGTATATGCACAGAGCTCTGTGGAATATTCTGGCAAATAATACAAATTGCAGTCATTTACTGAGAAGATACTATGGTCCACGCTTTTTTTGTTTTGTTTTTTCACTTAATTCTTACGACAATTCTATAAAATAAATGTTATTCTGTTTTGTATATGAGAAAACTGTGCCTCGAAGAGAGTTATACAAGATCATACAGCCAGCAAAGGGGAGAGTCCAGGTGAAGGCCGATTCTTTAAGGCTCATATTTCAATCAACACAGATTCCATTTACAGGTTAGAAAGGGGACCGGAGTCCTTGACAGAGGGAACTGGCCAGACACTAACCACCGGCCCTGACCTGGGTGTTGATAGGAGCAGGCCTGGCACTCAGCGAGGCCATTTTCTTCTCCTGTTGACCACAATCAATCTCACCGAACACGAACATTAGACAGGGGCGCTCCGTGACAGTGATGAATGAAACAAGAGAAGACCACTCCATAATCTTGTCTAAGCACAGGCAAAACCACGGTCCCCGTGCAGACCACAAAAATACCCAAATCCCATCTTCTGGCTGAGCTGCGTGAGCACAGCCTCCTAGTGATTGGTAGCTCTCGTCTCCCTTTGTTCTCCCTTTCTCCTAGATAAGATTCATTGGAGCAATACTCAATTATGGGATCACTCCCACTCCCTCATAGCACACAACCCCTTGCCTGGCACAAACCCTAATACTAGTAAGTTATTCCCAATGCCTTCTTAACTGAGACCCCAAAACTTGCTGTGACAAGTTAGTAAACCCAACTTTGGACTCTCACATGTGTGTTCCCGGTAGCCTCTGGCTGGAACCCAGGGAGCTTCAGTGCAGAGAAGGGAATGAAACAGAGAGGGTGAATAACTTGCATAAGGTTTAAATATGTCAAAATGGGATGTCAAGTATGGAAGAAGAATGCACATGCAGAGTAAGAAAGATTGGAATTCAAGGAAAATCAAGGTCATTTTGACAAGCACCCAGCCTTAAAGAAGTAGGTGACGAAATCCTTTGACTTAGATCATGGCCACAGATTAAGGCCTTTTCCATAGGGCCCTTTAAGTGATTCATCCATTGCTCAAGTATTATTTTTTTAAAAAAATTATATATTTGCTTTTCTGGTTTAATTCCGTTTTCCATTCACACCATGTATAAGGAGAATAACCGATTAGCATTTTCTCTATTAAAACTCTTCCTATTCCTGAATACTGGGCCAACAAGGTAAACTCACATCCCGCTGCCTGGCTTTCAAGGTTGTCCTTCATATTACCCTGTCCCACTGACGTTTCCAGCATTATCTTTTACTAGCTTGATTTCTAATGTCTGTCAGACAGGCCTTGCTAACTCATACCTGCCTTTGCTTTTGCATCTCTCTTAGTTTTGGTGGCAAAACTATGTGTGGGCTTGGGGTCAGGGAGGCCGATCCTGGAGCCGGTTGCTCCAAGGCAAGTTATTTTCTTCCTTCTGAGATTTGCAAAGGTCGCTTCATTCTCACAGGCCCTGAAGCAATGCTGCCTCTATTCAAATCCCAGCTCACCAGCTACGGGTGACCTTGTGTCTCACAAGCAACTGCTCCATGCCTCAGTTTCCCTACCTGAAAAAAAATGTAGATGGTATGGTGCTCCTTTCCTACTTTTTTAGAGTTTCTTTCAGATTTATTTATAAGAATTCATGTAAGACCAGTCAGTTGCCTAGCACAGATATTCACCAATAAATGTTAGTTATTCTTGCTATCATTATTATTGGTTTCTTCTTCTGAAAATTGGAGATAATAATATTTACCTTAAAGGCCATGATCTGAATTAAAGAATACATTCCCTAGAAGAGTGTCTGCCAGTGCCTAGCAAATAAATCTTTTATTTCTTCTTCCAGTCCTCACCAATATTTCTCTGCCTACTAAAGTTATGTCTATACTTCAATTTCCAACACAAATTACACTCTCATTAATATGCATGCCCTGACTACTCTGAGTCTCACCCATTTCTCCGATCTTTGTACTCTATTGTCAAATTTTTATAAAGCACATGGTAATTACATACTTTTGCTAATTGTTTCATTATGTTGTTTAAATATATTATTTTTTAAACCATAGATTCTGAGTTTCCTGAGGGTAATGACTACATTAAACAAATCATGAAATTCCCAGGGAACAAAGCACAGTACTGGGGCATTGCAGAATCTCTCAGTAAATAGTTGACCATTGACTGATAGTGTACATGTAGTTACCTTTCATCTTTTTTTCCTCAGGTGAACCCCAATTTCCTTAACATTTCCTCCTATGCCATTAAATACTGAAAGCTTTAACAATGTTTTAGAATAGTTTTTCAAATTAGTTCTTACTGAAGTACTTTCAAAGCTCTACTTGTTCTCTAGCACAAAATTGTGCTTTCATTTTTACAAGAAACTGAAATGTTAATATAAGTAAGGATTTCTGGAGCCCAGGCTGGGCAACTGAGAGATGAAAGGCAACCTGACTGTAGTACCTACATTTGCACGCATGTTTGATCATGTGGTAGACTGAGCATGTACTGTATTTTGCCACATATAATGTGCACTTTTTTGTTCAAACTTTTGAGGGAAAAATAAGGATGAGCATTATACATGGGTAGTACTAATTCTGTATATACATATATGTTTTTAATTCTTTTATTTATGCTTATGCATTTAAAGTGTAACTCTAGAAAGCAATAATGATATCTGTATGCAAAATAACACCCTGGAATATGATAATTGGTTTTGTTTCTAAATATAAATAAATAAATAATTGAATTAAAAAATTAACAAAAGACTTTTTTCCTGAAAGTTTGGGCCAAATACTTCGATGTGCATGATACAGAGCAAAATATGGTAAATCATTCAAACCTGTCAAGATACTAAATGTCATCTGAAGGACCCCTTGCAAGGAAGGGTCTGTCTCAGTAAAATTGTGGGAAGGTGGGCGCCGTGGTTACCACATGGCATGTACTGATCAAAGTGCCCGAGTGGAAGAAGTCTGTATCATATTCTTCTTGCAAGCAACTACTTGCTTTTAGTAAAAATCATCTGTTGTTTTATATTAATGTTTTTAATTTGAATTTTGTTGTTTTTTTTTTAGGCTTTGTAAGAATTAATCTGTTTAGACTTTATGAAGCTATAAGTATAAGGAGTTCATACCTGACTTTATGTTTGCACATATTTAGGTAATATAATAAAAGTAATTTAAGCCAAACACTGGGGGCATGTGGGCCTCTTTTCCTTAATAGTAATCTGTATATTATAACTGTCAAGTTTGAAAAACACTGGTTAAGACAGTTTCTGACTCTGAGGTAATGGGAGGCACATTTTCCAATTATTAAAGGAGCTTCTGTCATTTTCCCCCTGGCTCTTGCTGCTACTAGCCCAACTTACCTTTAGTTCCTGTGTCACATTTTCAAGGCCATACAGCGTCTTATACGGAGCTGGCAGCGGGCCGGTAAGGTTGATGCTTGTGGCCATCTGCTCCAGGCGGGCCAAGTCACCGAGCAGGAGGCCCGTGCACTCATCTCCGCAAACTGTGAAAGGGAGGCGGCAGAGAACATTTACTTCTGCTGAGCATCCCAGGCAGATGTTCAAAGATTTCAGCTCTGAAATATTGTGTGGCCCAAGTATTATTCTACGAAAGATGATGCCGCTCATCTCAGATAATGAACACTTTCAAATGAATGACAGTTGAAAAGAGATGAAAAGGACAACAAAAGAGGAAGCATGCCTGTCACTCAGAACCGGAACTATCGATGATGATATAAACTGTGGAACCAGAGAGAAGGAGCATGTGAATTGTGAGGAAAACAAGTACATTGCAAAAGTGTTGAAGGAGAGGTGAGATCTGAAATATAACATAATGCCCCAGAAATTTCCACAAGAGCAATCTAGAGGAAATCTGTAAGTAGGGAATAAAAACATTCTCCTGTGTCTAAATATGTATGCAAGTGTGCGAAATGCTACATTAGATTTCACTGTGGAGTGTTTACAGCAATCAGGTCTCCACATGCTTCATGTGTTACATATTCAAAAACTGTATAAATTTTTAGCTTGACATAGATTGAGAAGATTCTTTAAACTTAAAAGAATTTTTCTTTATATAATTTTTTCCCCCTCATAGTGCTATTTATTTACGTATTTACTTATTTGCCAGCCCTTCCTCTTTAATCTTTCAGCACATTTTCACCAATGATCAGATGTAGTCCCAGAAATTCCCACTTTGATGATTAACCTAATCTGGTCTGGTAGATAAATAATTGCTAAGGGACAGGAAAAATTATTCTTTAAGTACCAAGAGTGCTAATGTTACACTCATACATCTTTTCAATGATTAGAAAAAGGGACGATTCAAATTTGGTGGTTGTGGAGCAGCCCTGGTAGTAGAGCTGGTGAAGAGAAAAAATGGATTATTTCTTCATTAGCAAATTAATCTCATAAATAGAAAAATTTCTAAACTTAAAATATATTGATTCTTTTGGAGTATAAAAATACACATATCAGTTTCAACTTAATTCAAAATATTTTTTTTACTCATTGCCTGCCATATTCATAATATGTAATCATGTAAAGAGCTATAATTTCTAGCATATATTCTTCAGATAGAGGTATCAAAACTATACACACATTAGAAGAGAGGAAAATGCATAACAGAAGATATGGAGATTTGGAGCAGCTTTGGATCATGCCCAAAACTGGCAAGAATTCAATTAGTTCTCTAAACAGCACTCCCCTGAGATGCCTAATGGAGAGAAAACCATTAACGGAAGCTTGTAAACAAAGAGAAGCAGTACAGAGGGTGATTTTTTTGATAGAAAAGCAGTTACAGGTGAGTTACAATATCCCTACTTAGGGAATAAACTGCCCCAGCAGGGCTTTTAATAAATCACATCCTTGCAGGTGACACCTGCGACTATAGAGCATCACCTGCAGGGAATTTGCAAGCTCCTGGTGCCTTGCAAGCTGAGTGAACAAAGGGGCTTTTGGAGGCAGGAGCTGAAGTCTGGAACTAGAGCTGCATCTTTTCCTTTTCTAACCAGAATGAAAGAGAATTTGCTCTGCATGGCGACTGAGTGAAAGGAGGGGAGCCCTGCGGCCTCACGCTCTCTGGTCAATGCAAGTGCTTGAGAAGCTTCAGCAGACCTGTCTATGTGAAACAAGGAGAGAAAACACAACCTGGAGTACAATTAGGGACCAAATTAACTTTGTCTAAACTCCAGGACACAGACTGGTTCTTCAACTGACGTGGGTCTCAGCATCACCTGAAGGACATTCTTAAATCACGAAAGGCTTGGACTGTATCTCAGTGTTTCTAATTCAAAAAGTGACCGTGTCATCTGGTTTCTGACACTCTAGCTGATGTGCTTTTCTCACTGGTACTGATACTTCTGGTCTATGCACATCCTTGGAGGAGCAACTGGATCAGCAGCACTGGCATCACCAGGAAACTTCTTACAAATGCTTCATCTTGGGGTTACAAATGCAAGCCCAGGTCTGGTGAACCAGAATCTGCATTTGAGAAATATTCCCACCATGTGATCTATGCATGCTAATGTTTTAAAAGCACAGCTGTAGGTCAGCGATTCTTAGTTTGGACTGCACATTAGATTCATACAGGGACTTTCAAATAGAATCCAGGTGCTAGCCCTCCCACTCTGGAGAATGATTTGATGGGTCTATGGTAAGGCCCAGGCATCCATATTTTTAAAAGGTTCCAGACGATCCTGTCGTGCAGACAGGGTTTAGAAACACTGGACCAGATGATCAACTTCAGGGATACTCAATCAGTCCTAAAGGGAGCAAGGATTTGGAAGACATCGTTTTGTCTGCGGTCTCTTCTGCCTCGCATACTTCTCCCTCCGTCTTCCCCTACGTGGCCCCTGGATACTTAGCTCAAGTGCTCATGCGTTACTGCCTCAGAGGGGAAGGCCATGATGACTCTGTGGTTGCTGTGCCCACCAGACTCTGCAGCATTCCCTTTGTCTTGTTACCTTAACACTCACGTGGTCGTGGGTGGTGGGGGGCTAACCTCCTAGTGTATTTACATATAGTTTCTCTCTCACCATAGAAGGAAACTTAATTACCTTTGATCATAGTGCCTAGAAAACTGTCTTCCACATAGTAAACAATAAATATTTTGGAGAATACCGCCAGGGAGTTACAAGGAAAGAACTGAGAGAGGGAGAGGGAGAGGACGAGTGGGAAAGAGGAGAGAAAGGAGACCAAACAGGAAACGTCTGACTGTGAGAACATCATAATGAATGACAGGAGATGGAGAACCACACAGATGTGGGAGGAACTGGAGAACAGGGCTAAAAGCAATGGTTAGAGGGAGAAAATTGACTTGCGATGGAAGAGGCAAGACTGGCGGTTGTCAGTGAGGTGACTATTCTGATACCGTCATGAGGTGATTCTGTTTGGACCCAGGAGAGAGTTATTCTAGTGGAGGGGTGGAGGGGAAGAAAAGAGATACAAATCATTATCATGAAAGGAACAACACAGTTGGGTTATTGAGTAGACAAAGGCAATGCTCATTTCTGGGGAGCAACAAAAATGGTTACCACTTTTTCGCTGCTCCTCCCATGAAGAGGTAGAGTCCCTCTGCCCCCCTTGAATCTGGTTGTCTATCACTCACTCTGACTCACAGTGTCAGAGGGATATGGTATAACTCTTGAGCATCAGCTTCAAGGGGTTTTGCAGTTTCTGCCTCCACATTCTTGGATCCATGCTGCCTTGTAAACAGCCCCAGATCAGCCTCCTTGAGGAAGAGTAGCAACTTGATCTTGAGAAAGGCAGGCACAACCATTCCAGCTGAGGCCCCATGTGCATGAGGCCATCTGGGACTCCCCAGGCATGACAGCAAACGAATCATCCAGTGGAGCCCAGCTCAAATTGCCAACCACAGAATCTTAAGAATATATACAGGGTTGTTTTAGGCTATTGAATTTTGGAGTGACAGCGTAGAGAACTGATAACTTTTTTCCAAATTTTGTCTTTCTGATCTACAATGCAAATTCAGAACAGAGACAGGTTGCAATTCATAGGTTAAAAGCAACTATTAGTAACAAGTTCATCATTGTTTAAAAAGTTCCATTTAACTTCTCGTGAAGATGTATTTTGGGCAGATATTCCCAGGAGGTAAGCAAGCAATGCTCTTTTTTCAATTTCAAGATCTTAAAAGATACTTGATATACTATCTCACCATGCTTTGCACTGCCCTCAGTGTCTTCTTCAGGAATCCTTTTCTAGTTTGTTTTCTAATGTACTATAATATATAATCTACCTATTTCCAAGAAGGAGTTGAGTCAGCTCATTGATAATGATATGGCTAGAAGCTCCTTACTGATGGTTCCAGAAATTTCCAGGGAAAAGGTTTCTTGGTTTTTATTTCATACAAGAAGAAATCAGGGACTGTAATACAGAACTAGGTCTGATTTACGATAATAGACTACAGAGTAAATTGGTGAATGAGAATGCCAAGAGGCATGATGAATACTAATTTTTCTCAAATGTATTCTACCCCCTGCCCATCTGTTTTGGTTTCTCATCTTCAGTTGTTGAAATAAAAAAAATGTATTTAACTGCTTTTTTAAAGACTTATACATTTCATTTTATGTCTCTGTGTCCAAAGGTCTATTATTATCCCATGTCTTGTGGTCTCTGGCTTTGCTTTTCAGGGAACAAAGTACAAGCACATTTCCATAATTGAAGGGTAACTTTTATATATGCTCTAAGTAATATACTAACATCTGTCCAAATGGGTCAGAAAGACTTACGATATGACAGCCATGGGGATTTTTTTCAAAGCTCCTGTATAAGTCTGGTTCATGCAGTTATAAGATAAAAACATGGAGAAATGTGCCCTTCACATAATTACTTGCTATTTTATTCCAATACAAAATATTTTACTTACACCACAAGCTACTTTTATTTGCTCTCAAAAAGTCTGAAATGTCTGGCAACAAACACTGGAAATGAGATGCAAATTAAAACCACATTTAATTCATTCTGATAGGGAGGATTTCATTGAAGACTGTGTAGATACATGGAATAGTCATGTTATGTAAACAATTTTTTTTATAAGAGTGCAGTAACTGTTCAATTTAAACTAATACCTATCTTACAATCAAGAACATCCCCCCCCCAAAAAAAACCCTCGCTAAACCATTCTCCTAAACAGCAATAAAATAGATTATAAAGCAAGATCCTTCCTAAAATGCATGGGAGCAAAAGCAAATATTTCAAGACTATGATTATATTTCATATGACTAAATGTTTCTGAGGCTTTGCCTATAAAAGTGTCAGGATAAATTTGTATCTAATATTAACAAATGTAGTACTAAATTCAGATCGTTAGAGCTGGGCACATGTAAGGGGCAAATCATGCAACTGATATTACAGATCTTTCTGTTAGCAATTAGTACAAAATACTGCAATTCCACCAGAGTCCCCCATGCATAATAACCACGAGCTTATTGTCCCAGAAAATTCACACACTGCATCCCAACCAGAGAAGCTGAAGCTGAAATGTGTG